TTTTTTTTTTTTTTTTTCAGTGGATGTATGAATGATAGTTATTTACCATAGGATGTGAAAGAGGTGAAAAACCCCAAAAAAGTTGAAGAAAAATATATGATTTATTACAGTGTGAAATCTGAATTTTCCCCCCTTTTCTCCTGCTGACTGCTGTGCATTTTTCATCACTTTTACTGTAAAAAGTTGGTTTTTTGTTCATTGTCTTCTCAGGCATGCCATCTTCTTTATGATGATAACACAAATGAACAAAACTAGAAAGACAAAGCAGGGGACAATGTTGCAGGTTTTGACAGTAATGGAAACCAAGATTCAGAAAAAAGCCTTTGTTTTTGGTTTTGTTTTTTTTATATGTTCTAAATTTTTGAGCTCTTGGTATGACTGGGAACGACCTGTTTCTTATAAACGTGTGGAAACCTTTCCCTAATAGACGAGTTTTAAAACCTTAAGGAGAAGCATGAAAGGGAAAACTCAAAGAAGATGACATTTGTTAACCGCAGACTTGGGTTGTTACAAATGGTATTAGAGCTAGATACTGGACGGTGTGTCAGCGAGGATGTTGGACTTTGAGAGGGAGTGGATTTTGAGGTCCCTCGTTAGTTGGATAGGAGAATGAGTGTGTGGAAACCTCTTCCTAATGGACACGTTTTAAAATATTGAGGGGAAACCCAGAAGGGAAAGCCCAAAGAGGATAATATCTACTAACGGGAGACTTGGGCTGTTACAAATGGTATTAGTGTCAGATACTGGACGGTGTGACAACGAGGATGTTGGACTTTGAAGTGGAGTGGATTTTGAGGTCCCTCATCAGTTGGATAGGGGAATGAAGCATTCCTTATAAGTGTGTGGAAACCTTCTTAATGGAAGCGTTTTAAAATTTAGAGGGAAACCCAGAAGGGAAAGCCCAAAGATGATGATAATATCTACTAACGGTAGACTTGAACTGTTACAAATGGTACAGAGCCAGACACTGGACGGTGTGTCAGCGAGGATGCTGAGCCTCAAAAGGGAGTGGATTTTGAGGTCTCACATCAATGGGAGAGGAGAACGAAGCATTCCTTATAAGGGTGTGAAGATCTCTCTCTAATGAACGCGTTTTAAAACGTTATACGGTTACAAAATTGTTTCCCACTAGTTGACTGAAAGCAAAAGAAACAGCCTCAAAACATATGTAATCATAGGTAATGAATCCCTCAAAATGACACCCACCAGCCAATATTAAAAGCAGATTTGTCTGTCTGTGTCTATGGGATCCACAAAGCAAGCAAGCAAGCAAGCACACTGCTAAAGAACCAGCTGCTGCCATTTCTTGCAGACCATATCATTTTGTCAAGAACATGCTTCACATTTACACATACATCAATTAAGTAAAGTCAGACTGGGAGGTCAACCTGTAACATATTCTATCATGAACGCCTCAAACACTCAAACTCCATTCAATTTTCTTGTTTGGTTTGAAACATTATGGTTGGAATTGGATGATTAGATGGGTTCGGCTGTTTACGATCTCGAGCTAAAGACTTCTTTTTTGTCCAATTGTGACTAATAATTAGATAAGAATTTAGATTTTGGATTCGGCACTTGATAGTTCTGACATTCCTCTATATCTATCATATGACATAGTTATATTAATCACTCGTCTTGAACTGCTTCTAAGATCGAAAATTGTTATCATAAACTAACACGAGTCTTTTAGGATGTTCTCTTCTCACTCACATGCTTCCTAGAAAAATTTTCAAGAGGTCACCAACATAGAATTGCTCAAAACTAATTATCGTTGTCAGCCTCACGGTTTTAAAACATGTTTTTGACTCTGATATCATTTGTGACCGTCTAAGCCCATTGCTAACAGATATTTTCTGCTTTGATCCATTTAATATAGGTAGATTTACATTAATAATTATTAAGAGACAGTCACGTTGTGACAGGACCTATTTATAATTTATTATATATTTAAATAACTAAAAAAATAGTGAAAATAAAATTATTAATGATTTTGAGATAAATTAATTATTTCTCCAGAAAAATTTTTAAATAATTTTTTTTTTTGAAATATATTTCTAAAATTTCATTATTATATGTTTAATCATTAAAATGAAAATGGGGCTTGGAGAGAACTTGGGCTTCAAGTCATTGCTAAGCATAATTGGAAAAGGGGGAACTCCCAAATTTCAGAGGCTTTGGAAAACCAGATCGATTTCAAGAAGAAGAAGAAGAAACAAGAAGGGATGGAGAGCGTATTCGGACTTGTGGGCAACGGATTCGTCATAGTGGCGGCGGATACATCGGCGGTGCACAGTATTTTGGTCCATAAATCCAATGAGGACAAGATCATGGTTCTCGATTCCCACAAGCTCGTCGCAGCTAGCGGCGAACCTGGCGACAGGTTTGAGATTTTTATTATTCAATTATTGTTTCTTCTCTAATCGTTTGCCTTTTGTCGATTGTGATCTTCGTTGTGTGATTGAATAGGGTTCAGTTCACCGAGTATATACAGAAGAATGTGTCTTTGTATCAGTTTCGCAATGGGATCCCCTTGACCACTGCTGCTGCTGCTAACTTCACTCGTGGTGAACTCGCAACCGCCTTGCGGAAGGTATATCATTTCTTATTACTATTACTTTTATCTGATTAAAATTTCAGCTAACCTTGAATTTTCGATCCTGGGCTTTGAGTTTACATCGGATAAGCGGTTTCAATCATTTGGTCATGATGATAATTTTTGAATGGTTCTGTCTTCAATCCAACTTTTTGGAGCTTAAAATTGTTCAAATGTCTAGACAGAGCGAGGAAATTTCTGTCTATCTTTAAGAATGACTCACAGTGAAGAAATTTTTAGGAAAACCCTCGATTTCTGTCATTTTTAAGAATGTCCATAGTGACAAGAAATTAGGCAGATAAACCTCTAGAGATATTGCATTCTATTAACACTTTGTTACTTGTTCTTTTTTTCTTGTATCAAGCTGATAATCATGACAATGTTTATGTGTATTATATCCTGTTTCAGTCTTGCTCTTGGAATTGTCATCTTATTAGTTCATTCCTTATCATTAGGCAAGGCTTTCATTAAATCTTTGAATTAACAGTGACTTATGTCTTATAGGTCACCTCTTACTCTAGGAATTTCTTGTGGATTCTCGGTTTCTTTGTGATTCTATTTAATTTTACTCATGATTTTCCAAGTATTTTCCAAATGTAAGTGACTCTCATAAAAATCATTTCTTGTTTACTATCATACCTTCTTAGTTTTATCGAACTCATTCTTCATGGTGCGGCCCCAGCAAGCACGAGCATGGTCTCTTTTTTTAGTCTTTCTTTCTGAGGCGTGTACTTGCCAAATAACCAACCATCATGTTTCATCCCTATAACGAAGTTCATGGCGACTAGGGCAAAGATCACCTTTCTTTAAGGCTAAGCTAGGGTAGAGTTATGCAGCTATGATGTACTCTAGTGTAGATGAGCACACCGTGATGGAGTTCTACATAGTAATTTGGTTTTTGTTGCTCTGAGCAGAATAATAGATGATCCAATACTAGTTCTTTCTGCGTTTGTCTATAACTGCGATTGAGCTGTAAAAGGTATATAAGGAGTCTCACGCTCCTAGCTTATTTGGTGTCATGGGAAATTAACTTGTTGGGTGGGTTGTAATTTAGAAAGACGAACCTGATTTCAACTGTGAACTTTTGATTTTCAGAATCCATATTCCGTGAACATTCTTCTGGCGGGATATGACAAGGAAACTGGCCCATCCCTCTATTACATAGACTATATTGCCACCCTTCACAAGGTTGAGAAGGGAGCTTTTGGTTATGGGTCTTACTTTTCACTCGCCATGATGGATAGACATTACCATAGTGGCATGACAGAACAAGAAGCCATTGATTTGGTTGATAAATGCATACTGGAGATTAGGTCCAGGCTTGTTGTAGCCCCACCGAATTTCGTTATCAAGATTGTAGACAAGAACGGAGCTAGGGAGGTTGCTTGGCGCGAATCTATCAAGGATGGAGCTAGCTTTCCTTCAGCTTAAGATCTAAATGTTACATCTGCCGAGGCTTGCTTTTCTTGCTACCTTAACTTTGATGAGCTGCAAGCAGAGTGTATTCTACCCTTTTCTTCCCTAGTTTCAGACATTTCTATAGCGTAATGTTGCTGTTAACATTTCTTGTTCCTGAATACATGAGCAAACAAACAAAATGTGAACTTCTATGGGTTGATTTATCATCTGTTGTGCTGAAGTTCAAAGGTGCTACTTATGGTTTTATCATAATTGAGTTTGAAAAGTGGGAGATTTGAGAAAGCAAGATCTTAACAAACCAGCTTCAGCGTCCAAAGAATTTGATTTTCCCATTGCTTGAATTCATAAAGAACGTCCAAACAGATGACCTTACCTGAACAGGACCTGTTCTTTAGATCTCTTATTTGAGCTGTACAACTGTGACCTTGAGTTCATAATGAAGTCCGATTAGATTACTCTGTTTTATCTTCTCTAGTCTTTAGAAAGGTCAAATTACCATCCTAGCTTCCACTTTTATCTTTTCTAGTCTCTGATGATCTCCATTCTTATTGATACATGGATGCATTTTCTGCCTATCTATATATCATTATATACTACTCCATTTTGGCAAGAGATTCCTCTAATTTTGAATGTGTCAATGGCAAGAGATTCCTCTAATTTTGAATGTGTCTCAAAATTTGAAAGAATTAGGGAGCATCATTTCATTTTTGTATCAAGGAAGCAATTGGAGAGCTCAAGAGAATTAAGAATTCCCACCAAAAAAAAAAAAAAAAAAAAAAAAAAAAAACTGTTAATAG